TGCACTGCAGGTGGGAATGAAGTGAGGCAGGGCAGTGTGGTCAGAGCTGCCACAGACTGCGCAGAGTGAGTGGCAGCAGTGTTAGGGGGATTTGGGGGGCTATGACCACCCCTCCAAGCCCAGGTACTGCCACTCACCCCATGCAGTCTACAGCAACTCTGACTTCCTCGCTCCTGCCCACAGCACAGCCCCCATTACTGGGAAAAGGCTTATGCCCCCTGGGAAACCATAAGAGGGGCTGCTTCCCCCATCATGGTCCCTGCTCCCTTGCTGCTCCAGCAGCAGGGGCGGTGGCAGGGACAAAGGCTGGCCAGCATGGCCCCCTTAGGCGAGGGGGCAGGGAGCGGGTTATTTCCCCCTCACTCTGGCGTCTGGGAGAAGGGGCAGGGAAGGAACTTATTTCACCACTCACCCTGTGCAGGGAGCAGGTGGCAGCGGTGATTGGAGCTGGCAGACCCCAGCTGCAGTCCCCCAGGGACAGAGACAGAAAGGGGGGAAATAAACCCCCTCCCTGCCCCCTCTGCCTCAGGGCGCCATGCCAGCTGGCCTCTGGCCACACCCCTTCCCCTACCACTGGAGCAGCGAGGGAGGAGTGCCAGAAGGACCCTGGATCAAGCCCACGCTGGTGGGACAGGAAGGGGGTAATTAAACCCCCTCCCTGGCCAGTTAACTTGAGGCTACTGCCGGGGCTGGCCATGCCTCCCCCTTCTCCCCACCCCGCACAGCTTTCCTGCAGCCGAGGGCTACTGTAGCACCCCCCAGCTTCTGGCCTAAGCCACTGCAGACATGTGCTTGCATTTCCTGAGTGAAAAGGGAATGTCTATTCAGTTGCAAATCAGTTCAATCTAGGCAAGTTAGACTAACCTACAAAGACTGAATCAATTTAGACTCCAGATTTTTTGAATGTCTGTCCCTAGCCCTTCTACGACCAGGTGACCTATCACCTGGTCAAGGGAGAAGAGATTAATGTCATATATCTTGACTTCAAAAAAGCCTTCGAACTGGTATCCCATGATCACCTCTTGGCAAAAATGGACAATTGGGGCCTTGGGTCCACCACAATCCACTGCCCCATGGTTGGACCCAGAGGGTGGTAACTGATGGAAGTCAATCAGCATGGTGCCCCTGTGACCAGTGGGGTCCCCCAAGTCTCTGTCCTTGGACCCATATTGTTCAACATCTTCGTTAATGATGGGAATATTGGAGTCAGAAGCAGACTGGCCGAGTTCGCCAATGACACCAAACTTTGGGGCAAAGCATCCACACCTGAAGACAGGATGGCGATCCAGGCTGACCTGGATGGGCTCAGCAAATGGGCAGACGAGAACCTGATGGTGTTTAACACTGAACAATACAAAGTTCTCCACGTTGGCAGGAAAAACCTGCAGCATCCTTATAGGCTCAGCAGTGCTACACTGGCTAGCACTACGAAAGAAAGAGACTTGGGGGTCATCACTGACCACAAGATGAACATAAGCCTGCAATGCGATGCTGCGGCTAGTAAAGTGACCAAAATGTTGGCTTGCATCCATAGATGCTTCTCAAGCAAATCCCAGAACATCATTCTTCCCTTGTACTTGGCCTTGATGAGGCTGCAGCTGGAGTACTGCATCCAGTTTTGGGCCCCACAACGTGGAGAAGCTTGAGAGAGCCCAGAGAAGAGCCACGCGCATGATCAGAGGTCAGGAAAGCAGACCTTATGATGACAGGCTGAGAGCCATAGGGCTCTTTAGCCTGGAAAAACGCAGGCTCAGGGGTGATCTGATGGCCACCTATAAGTTTATCAGGGGTGACCACCAGGATCTGCGGGAACGTTTGTTCACCAGAGTGCCCCAAGTGATGACGATGTCAAACAGTTATAAACTACTGCAAGACCGTTTCAGGTTGGACATAAGGAAGAATTTCTTTACTGTTCCAAGCCCCCAAGGTCTGGAATAGCCTGCCATCGGAGGTGGTTCAAGCACCTACATTGAACACCTTCAAGAAAAAATTGGATGCTTATCTTGCTGGGATCCTATGACCCCAGCTGACTTCCTGCTCTTTGAGCAGGGGCTGGACTCGATGATCTTCCGAGGTCCCTTCCAGCCCTAATGTCTATGAAATCTATGAAATCTAGCCACAGACACAGACTTCCTGCAAAAGCACTTACATTCTGGGCCTCAGTTTTTTCATCTGCAAAAAGAGTAGGCTAATATTTCTGCTGGGTACTGTTTGTTTTATTCTAATCTGTGCAGAGTTAACCTTGAATTAAGTAGATAGTGAACACTAAAAGTACATCTCCTAAGATATTAATTTAAAAAATTGAAAGGTGAACCTGAAACAAAATCTCTAATCTGAACCTTCCACAACTTCAGGGGCTTCCACAACTCATGTCAGAGGAAAATTAGCAGTACTAATGCCTTCATACTCAGAAGTACTGATGATCCATTTTCAGCTCTGCAGCTCAACCCACCATATATTTTAGCACTTCTAGATCCTTAAAATGGGTCAAAGACAGCACTTGTTCGCTTGTTTAGTTTCCCTTCTTACATGCTAGAAAGCATTCCACTGAATATTACAAGCAGATGATTTTGCCATACATATATTTCACAAAGCTTTTGCTGAAAACCTGATGGCCACAAATATCAAATAAAAATGATAAATAAAACAAAATAAACTAAAGAAAATGTCAAACACCTGACAGGTTACCCAAGAACACAAAACAGTCATCTCACTGCAGCCAGCCAGCATGGAATTCTTACCTCCAGCTGTTATTCCATTAAACTTCAAAAAAATATACAAATGAATCTTCTGTAATGTCATTCATGAGCAATTTAACCAGAAGTGTGGCTGCTTAATAAGAACACTAAAATTGCCAGCACTTATGTGCATGTAAAAATAATAGGGTAAGGGCAGGTGTAGCAAAATTTACAATTCATTTTTATTCCCCTTGCTTACTTTTGTGAGCACACTCACTCTCGCATGTGGCCCATTCAGTGGGCTATATTAGGGAATAATGGAGAATATTGCTCTACATGCTCTCTTGAATATCCCCTGTACTGCAGTGGTGCTGCATGATGGTGGGGGACAACAGGAGTGAAGATAATGGGAAAGGGGGTGAAATGATCCTCATTTATTTCTCAGGCAACACACATTTAGTAGTCCGGACAACAAGGCTAGGGACAGACATCACACATAAATCAGTTTAAGTGATCAGAAACTGGTTTACATCTGTAACAGAACAGATGTTCAGTGAACATAAACCAGTTTGAAAATGGCTGAAACTGGTTTGAGATAAACCTGGTTGAATGTAGTATCAGACTTAACTGATTTGGATCAAACTGGTTTATGCAATCTGTCCCAGACCCCTTGCTGATTTAAGTTAAATCAGTCCCCCAGCATCCTGGCATGCTCTGTGGGCTGGGCAGGGCTCCCTGCTCCACAGCAGGGCTGGCCCCTCTCCTCTGCTCCCTGGTTAAGATTTGCAGCTCCGGCAGAGATTTGCAGGTACAGCAGGGTCTGCTGGCTTCCTTGGGCCCTATCCCCCCTTGCTACTCAAACAGGAAATCCCTGCCCCCCATCTCCCACAGCATGGACCCCAGCCCCAGCAACCTGTAAGCTAACTAATGCTGAGAGGTGTCTGTGTGTGTTTCTCTCTCTAATTTCACTGGGACATGCACACAGACAGAACAGGGCTTTTGGAGCTAATCAACAGATCAGCTGGTAAGCTGTTTAAGAAGCTGAACTAATGGAGAGAGGCCATTGTTTTGCTAATCAGGTGATAAAGACTCTTACCAGCTCCTGGCTGTCTTGCTCCCCTGTTAGTTTGTTGCAGGCAGTATGACAAAGCATGGAGGCAGATTGAAAAGCTCTGTATCATCAACAGATGCATGCACTGCACACATCCCTTGCCTCAGAGTGCTAGCCCAGGGCTGAGGGCTGACAACACTCCCACCCCTTGAGCAGCCAGCAGGGAAAAGCCCGGGACCATGCAGGCAGACCTCCCTAATGAGAGAGTCCTGCCAAAGCCTGGTCACGCCCCCCTCAGCTCAGCGCCCTGCGGAAGAGAAGGGAGCTACTCTAGCACCCCCTGGCTTCTAGTCTGAGCTACTGCAGGCATGTGCCTGAATTTCCTCAGTCCAGAGAGAATGTCTGTCCAGTTTCCAACCAGTTCAGCCTAGTCAGGATAGACTAACCTGCAAAGACTGAATCAGTTCAGGTGAAGGCTTTTTGAATGTCTGCCCCTAGCCCAAAGGGAAATAGTCTCCTACTGGAAAGGGTGAAATTGCTTTCCAGAGTCCTCAGCCTCCACACCATATTAAGGGCTAGAAGTAAAACCTAAAATAATCTCTAATCTCCATGAATCTCTACATAGCTATGTTCAACTCCCTGTTGATACCCATGATACCTGAATTTCTCTCTCCCCTTTATTCATGGTAGCTGCATCTACATAAGCAGCAGACTGCACAGTTGTGGCTGTGCAGTCATTTAGTACTTGCATCACCAAGTACTCAATGACCACGCTGTAATTGGTGTTACTAAACAGTAGCAATCCTGCATTTTTTTCAGATGCTACTGCACAGTAGCTTCTTGCTACTGCGCAGTAGCGTCATGTCACAGCTAGTACCCACCAATGTACATGTGCAATAGCAATAAGCTACTGCACAGTAGCATCTCGTGTAGACGCACTCTCTTACTCCATGTTGTTTTGTTTTTAGTCATCACTTCCAGAGTTCACTGCAACTCAGTGGACTGGAACTCAGCACATAGTACATAGTACATGAAATAACAGAAGGAGCAGAAGTAACATAGACTTTTACATTTCAAATGCTTTCAGTTTCCATTACTGGCAGTTTCATTTCTTTACACAGACCTGTCAGCAGAACACATGCTGTGCTTTAGATTGGACCACTGAAGAATGAATCTTAGTCTTATCAGGTCAAGAATAACAGTTATCAAATCTGCCATCTCTCCTCCATTAAAATATAACCCAAAACATGCTTTTAAAAGTCTTTTCTTACCTTGCTGGAGGCACATCAATATTTGAAGAAACAACCTTGCGTTTCTGTTCAAGAAGACAGACAGAACGGGTGTTTTCTTTTTCATGCTCGTGAACTCTGTTTGTTTTTTTGGTGTCTGCTGTTGTTATATCTTCCTCCTTCATAGCCAACAGGAGAAAATGTTGGTCTGGCAATTTTTGACTGATGTCACTTTTTACATCCTCTTGCTGAAATGTAGTGAAGGGCATTTCACGCTTAATGTTGGCTGCCTGCAAATTAAAAGCAATAATTAAATGTCTAATAATCCTAAGAAATGAGAGAGAGAGAAAGCTCTCACTTCTATTTAGCATCTATGAACTACAACCCACCATTTCTTCGCTTTTTGCAAACTCTAAAACCACTATTAGTTTTTTTCATCAACCCACATATCAAAACTGAAGATAGGCCAGAACAGTTACTTTTCTGGGAAACTATTTTTGACTGCATGATAAAATAGAAAGCTCTGGATAACTTACCATTCTTAAACCCAAAATTAATCAAATCAAACTGCTTTGAAATTATACAACATACAATATAAAACACACAAACATATCTCTGTTGCACAAGACTTATTCACATACATGCAAAAATGAAACATCTAGCAACGTTCATTCAGAAAGAAGATGAAAAAGTCACAGTGTGGGACGTAGGTGCCCATATGCTGCAATGGAAACAGGGGGCTTGTTTTGGTTTATAAACTGAAATTTTATACATTATTTCAGTTCTCATTGATCACTAAAGTTAGGGATCCAGGGGATCTTGTTCTTGGAATGAACAGCATTTGACACAAAATATCTGACCCCATTAACATTTCTGCAAGGGCTTTACTTGACAGTGCAAACTCACACTACATAGAACTTACCTTACCAAAATATGCTGATTGAAAAACACCAGTCCTTTCCCAGACGAGCTACCATGTTACCCCTCCAAAACAAAACCCTCCCAGTCAAACAAATTTTAGCAGAATGGAAAGATGTTATTATTCCTCAAACATCCCTATTTATATCATTTAAATGTCAGCAGGTATAAGAATGTTATTTTCAGTTCAGAGGAAAGATAATTATGCCATGATAAGTTTGTTTTGCTATGAAAAATACACATCACTACAGGCACACAAATATTAAAGATAATTGATTTAATACGCAGCTCATTCTAATGTTTCCATGGAAAGAGTTTTGGCAGTTGCTTCAAGAGCAAAACTGGAACGGTTACTTTAAAAATGTAAATAGTAGAAAGCATTACTCATTTTGGATTTCTTGACACACAGCCAGATGACATGTTACCAAGAAAATCTGCCTCACCACTGTCTTGGAAAGCAAAGCACTTTACATGTAAACAACTGGAACTAAGACGAAAGCTACAGACAGCATAAATTTGGTTGTGATAATGATGAGCATGTTTGAAAATCTCCTAAGAATAGACAGTAAGTCCCTACTTAAGAGCCTGATCCTGAGAAGTTCAGAGTGCACTTGTCACCATCACAGCTACCTGTAGGACCAAAATTTGTATATTACCCACACACATGTACCCACACACAATTACTTTAAATTCAAAGTCAAGCATTCAAAACTAGGGAGTATCAGTATTAAGGATGTATGCCCAACCAGACCTAGTTCAGTACATGGGGGTAAATGAGAGCTCCTCTACGCGGGCAGGTAAAGGCAGAATAGGATCTAATGCATGATCCACACAATCACACCTCCCACCACCCCACACACGTACGGCAAGAGGTGCAACTTTGGGACAGCATGTTAGATCCCTTCATGTCTTATCAGTGGTGCAGGGGGAGCCCAGGATCACGTGCATCAGTTCCCATGCCTGCATGCCCCGCTGCCAATGCTGGCTGTAGGGCTTGCAGGGGGGCTGCAGAGAGAATGCTGCCACTGCTGGAGCTACACAAGGTGTGGGGCTTGCAGAGTGGGCAGTGGGAAGAAAACTGCTGCCAATGCACATTTTGTGAGGTGCATTCTCACCGCTGCCCCTGCTATAACTGTGCAGCCAACAAGGCTGCCCCTGCTATAATCCCAACAGCTGACAAGGCTCGCAGTAGCCAGCCGTGTTCTTCCCACTACAAGTCCCACAGGACAAGGCTCACAGCAGGGGTACCACTACAAGCCTTGTCAGCTGGCAACAGGTGGTGCAGCCTTGTGGCTGAGCCGCTAAGTTGATGGGGCACCCAGCCACAAGGGAACACTTGGACACACGTTCAATTAGGCTAGGCAGACATTCAAAAAGCCTGAGCCTGAATTGACTGAATCTTTGCAGGTTAGTCTAACCTGGCCAGCCTAAATCAGTTTTGTAACCAGACAGACATCCCAAAAATGCAGACACATGCCTGCAGTGGCTCACGCTATAAGCTGGAGGGCACTAGAGCAGCCCTCCCTTTCCTTATGCAGGACTGAACTGAAGGGGGCATGGCCAGGACCCAGCAAGATGCTGTGATTAGGGAGGGTTTCCCCACTCCTGAACAGCCCAGCAGAGAATGTTTATCACCCTTAACTCAATATTTATCACCCCATTAAGAAAACAGAGGGACATTACCTGTTGGTTCTGCCTTTGTTCTGTGTGCCACAGCTCTGCAGGTAGCCAGCATGTGGTCTGCTAGCTAATGCTGAGGTGTCTATGAGGGATGGGGAATGCCTGCTTAGCAGAGACTGAGGAGAGGGAGCATAAGCCAGGCAGATGCCTGCAGATACTGCCAAGCTGCAGCCAGAGAACAAAGGCGAGGGGCCAGCCTTCCTGGGAAGCAAAGAGCCCCACCCAACCCAGAAACCATGCCTGGATGCTGGGGAGTCTGGTTTAATTTAAATCAGCAAGCGGTCTGGGATAGACATTCCATAAACTGATTTGAGCCAAATCAGTTAAGTCTGATATACTACATTCAACCAGGTTAACCTCAAACCAGTTTCAGCCATTCTCAAACTGGTTTATATGCACTGAGCATCTGTTCTGTTACAGGTTTAAACCAGGATCTGATCACTTAAACAGGTTTATGTATAATGTCTGTCCCTAGCCTTAATGGCATGATTTGAACAACCTACAAAGTTACTACACATTTTTCTGGAATAACTATGGAGCTTATTGCTTGTTTTATCAAACGATTAATTGGCTGGACAAGTAGCTGGGTCACAACTTAAGACATAATTAACTGGTTAATTACGCCTTAAGCATACTATGTAGAGGGGGTCACAATGATTCCGTCACCTTGTTTCCTCTCATTGTTGAATGTCTTAGTTATCACAATAGATTTGGAGTAATATTGTAGCCATAACGGTCCAGGAAATACATACGATACAAGGAATTTTTTGGTGGTATCTTTCACTGGACCAGCTGTATCAGAAGCATAGTAGAGTAGCTCCATGCCCTGGGCAGTAGCTGTGCACAAGGCAGCACTGGCTGTGAAGTGCCAATGGCAGTTGCAGATACTTTTGCAACCTTCTTTCCTCTCCCTCTCCTCTCCCCTCCCTCAAGTTGGAACCTGGGTCCACTGCACCAGTCATGCCCCTACTCCCTACAGTTTTGCTACTGAACTGTATAGTTAGTTGGGAGAAATGCTGCAAGCTACTGGACACATAATGCCCTTCTTCCAGTCTGGGAAACAAGCAGACACAACTTGAGCTAAATAACAGTTAGAACAATAGCCTGTGTTTTATTCCCTATGTAAATGAAAAGTCTGTTTAAAAGAGTAGAGGAGGGCTGTAAAGTAGAAGGAAAGTGATGGCTATCAGGAAAAGGCTACAAAACAAGAGAAGTGCAGCAGAAGAAATAACATAATTAGTAGAAGAGGACATTCAAGAAGGAAAGGGGTTGCCATTACCTGTGGAGAGCAAGGAAAATAATTACTGCACATTAGTCACACCTTGCTCTAAAGCAACTTCCACATTTTTCCAGCTTGGGCCCAGCATGGGGTTTCTGAGAGTATAGGAGAATCATTCTTCCTGAGGTGCCTATACCAGCCTAAACGAGCATTTTTGTTCAGGTGAGACTAGCATTCACGGTTAGAATGACAGGGAAAATCCTGTTCAGCCTCCAGCTCAGCAGTTTCAAAAATCTTACAGAAATTTATTATATACATCAAAAACATTTTTACTGAGAAACTGCAAACTAAAGATTCACAGGCTTATGACTCAGCCAATTTGGGTCTGAACTTCATTGCAAAACCATATCCTTGAAACAAAGGCCACTTCCCTGCCAAATTTCAGCCTTTTCCAAAGCAAGGAGTAGAACTCTAGTTCAGCCTAAGGCAGATACCCTGCATGCAAAATATCAGTCCAAATATTTAAAGTTTTTCAAAGTTCTAAACAATAACAAATAAATGTAATGGGAAGTATCAGGCAAACTTAATCACCCCACCTATATTTACACACATACAAACACATTTTCCTTAGAAATTTTCAGTTTATTTTCTTTTTCTTTACCATAACTACATATTCAGTGTGATTACTTTTCACAAGTTTTAAACTAAAATAACAGTTATAAGAAAAATAAATGCCAACAATAATGTAGGGCTTCATTTTAGCATCCAGGTATGTGAAAAATTGGACTCCTGATTGTAAAGATGATTTTGGAAATATACACAAAGTATGAACTGATGCAGCACTGTCTTATAGTAGATTCATAGTAGCTAGGGTCAGGAGGGACCTGAATAGATCATCTAGCCTGACCCCCTGCCACAGGCAGGAATGAATGCTGGGTTCACAAGACCCCAGACAGGTGATCATCCAACCTCCTCTTGAATTTG